CTGATGAGATCACGCCGAAGGCGTTCCCAATGTGAGACACGAAACAAATGCTATGAAAGAGAACATTATATTCTGTTTGGGTCATATTTTTCAGTCCGTTCATTTTTCTCTGTTGCCTATTATGTTTTCTGAACGACATCAAATTATATGTAATGGAACTTCTAAATAAGGTCTGGACTTACCAACTACAGTTTGGTGGTCTTCATTCGCCTCTCTCTGGGTCAGACTCTGGTGCTAACATGTATGGCTGGATGACAAATCTTCCCTTGTTGACATATTTTAATTCATTTGTAAATAAAAAGTGTCTGCGCAGCTGTATAGTTGTATCTCTTCGATCAAACTAGAATGGACGCTCTGGAAGCTAAATGTGGGCGAGGTGTGAAGTGCCTCGTTTGGATTTAAAGAGACAGCCTCAAAATGAGTTGATCTGAGACACACCTCAGAATAGGGGTGAAAGACGGGCTTGTGGAGTTACAATGAGGAATTCAAACCAAAGCATTGCAGTTCCACTTATAGGCCCAACTGAATGATTTAAATGTGAAAAAGAAGAATTTAAAAGCATGATATGTTTCCTTTAACTCATTCTGCATTGAAAGACATTTATGAAACCACATTTTTTTAAACTATTCAACCTGAAACAATAGTAAGCTTTTCAAGTTTTTGGACCTGCCTCTCCTTTTTTGTGATTTGTTCAACAAATATCAGGGTGTGCAGTAGTTCACAAACTAACCCAGTCATTTTAAATCAGCTGTCTTTACTTGTTAATGTGTGAACCATCAAGAGACTACTAGTACAAAAATAAAGAACAAAGACACAATGTGGAAAACTGCTCTTTAAAAACATTTGTACAACGTGGTGATATAATTGTTTTTATTATTAATTGGGCTCATTGGAGTACATCTACAGTTGGATTTTGGTGATTAAATAATAACTTCTTAGTTATACGAGGAGACCAAAAAAGTGTAAGAAAAAGATTAAAGGTTAAAATCGTCAAATGACTCTGCCACAGTCTTGACATTAATGAAATTAATGTGTAAAAACRAAGCTCATGTGATCAGATTATGCACAGAAACCTACAAACATTCCTGTCTTTTATAAAAAGTGAGGGACAGGTAGTGTCATCAAAACAATATTTCACCTGATTGCTTATCAGACCTGTCTAAAATTTTAAAGGTTTTGTGGAGATTTTATGATGACTTAAATTATCATCAATCATTTTTGGAGAAATGCTTTGGTTGGTATAGATAAATAACTTCCTAAAACCAGAAGTTCTAGCACTCTTTTATTTGTTTTTATCCTTAAGTTGAAAATATATATTTGTTATGATGTTAAATCTCTTTGTAACAACATCTGTGTTACAATGAGCTTTGTCTTCTTGAGTCCCGATTGACTATTTTTTTCCTTAATGGGATTTTAAAATCAGCGTCCCTGACTCGGTGTTGTGATGGCTCCAGTATACCTGTGGGAAATGCTAATGTGATCAAGATTATAATAAGTAACAAAAAAGTGACAAAAAAAGATTATAATAAGTATGAGCTTGTTAAAACTGCAGTCAGGCTGAAAGTTAGCTGAGGTCCTTGTTTTTATGAGCCATTTCACATGCAGCCTTTGTAGTTAAAATGATACCAATTATAATGTGTTTCTGACAGCTTATTTAAATTATTTGAGTTTTTTCATGCATCAGTTTGGAAGCTAAAAAAGGAAAATATCTGATAAAACTGCGTATAAATAAAGGTAAATGTTGTTAGTGCATAAAAACATGTTCTATGGTACAGAGGTATATAATATTTATAGTAATGTAGTTCATCTGAACAACTCCATACCAGATCAACCGAGGCATGTGTTAACGACAGGGTGCCAGCAGACATTGGGTGTGTCCAAAACAACAGGACGGGTCCTCCGGAGGACCCAGACTCCCCGGTC